TCTTCCCTAGGAAGTATGAGAGAGCAAACGGTGTAAGACAATGCAGGGAAGATGCTCCATATCCTTGGTTCATTTAGAGAGGGGTGCTGCTGCAGAGGATGAGCATCTGCTGTGACTTCACATCACCCTGGGGACATGGGCAGGGTGTCACTCTGAGGTCACCCCAAATGAGGAGCTCTTTAGGGTCATAAGTCTGACCCAGGGGTTTTAGAAAACAAATGTGTAAGTGTCTCCTAGAGTATGTTGTGGTGAGGCAGCTGGCGGTGTCTGAGGGTCTCTCCTATGGATGCTGAAAGCTCAGCTGAGCTGACACCATCTGACAGTTGGAGAAAACCATCCTTTCAACCTCTAAGTTGAGCACATTTGCTATGGACTCACTGGAGACTAGTAACATAAAAGCTCATATTTTTTTAACAGAAGGACTTTGCAAATGGAAATTTCACATTTTCATGGATATTTCTGCTCTTTCATGGATTTCTTTTTTTTTTCCTATTTCAGGACTTGTGCAGGGAAAAATACCCCATTTCCAGCACAGGAGAGACCTGGAAGCCTTGTACCTTGCTGCATGCTTTTGAGTCCTGCAAGAGAATAGCAGTTCACGAGCATTCATGGAGCTCCTGAGCCAAAATCAGAGTGATAGGCCAGGGAGAGAGGTGAGGGCTCCTGGGGAAGTGTGAGCATTTTACAGGAGGGAAGGATGGAAGGGGTTAGCCAGCTTAGCCTAATGAAAAGGAGGCTTTAGAAATTCTGCAACAAATCTAAAATATTTCAAGGATACAAATTTCCAGGAGGCAAAAACGTATCTCAGTTAAAAGCCAGTGCTAGTACAAGGATAAAAGGAAATAAACAGCCACGAATAAATTTGGGCTGAGAATTAGAAAAAGCTAATTACATTCTGTGTAATGTTTCTGTTTTATTCTTGCAGATGGAGAGAGAAGCTCATGGTCCAGGTTAGTGCTGGGCAGCTGCCATGGCAGGAAAGCTACAGACTGCAAGTCCAGAAGGGCAGCAGTGGATGCTCTGCAAACCCTCTGTGCTTTTCTCTCTGGTCTCACTTTTAAAAAAGAAAAATCCTTCCAGGGAGTTCTTCCTAATGGCCAAAAAAAATCCTTTCTGAAGGGAGCAGGTTCTCATTTTACACGCATTGTCAGTGGAGCCTTCTTAGCCAGCTCATTTCCCAGGTCTTTAACCAGCCAGCCTGCCTGGAATGGAGAGATTTCCTCTCGTCTCAAATCACTTGGCTGCACATGGGAGAGAAGCCCTTTGACGAGGTGAATTTGCAAGGCGCTCAAATCCGCTTTATTCTCACTGTGCTATCCCTTCTTGACTCATCTCCAAGAGATGGTGTTGGGCTAAGCCCAGAAGGAGCACAGAAAGGTGATGGCACCAATCCTCAACACACAAACACACACAGATACAGCTTCCACCCCTTCCCCTCACCATAAATTAAACATCATCTATACCCAGGACTGAGGAGGATCAGCTAAAATAATCCAGTCCAGTCCTCCATCACCAGAGAGGCTGAATTCAGAACAGCCCACAGTTTTCATCCATGCCAGCCCACAAACCTGCTCCTCCCATGTCCATAAAAATCTGGAGGCTCATAATTCATATCTGGCCTGTTCAGGTACATATCTGGGGGTTAACACCCATGTGCAGAAAAAAAAAGGCTAAATTGGGCTATTCTGTGGTGGGGGTAGTGTTTAGGCAACCAGGGCTTCAAGGAGCAGTGACATTCAAGAGCCAACATGATGTCTCATGGATGCTTTTTCCTTGCAGCTAGTTGCAGTGGCTAGAAAATCAGTCAGGAGAGTGAGGAGCAAGGTAAAATGAATACAGACAGCCTCGGGGCACAGTCCTGGGGTAAGAGAGAAGGTGGTTGGTAAAGAGCAGGTGGGCAAAACACTTACTGAGTGCAACTATTTTAATGGGTCTGTCTTTTCCAAATTCCACATTGCACACACGTAAATAGTAATTTTAAAAAAGACTCACACCAGAAACGCTGATTTAGAGCACAAGAAACTCTCCCTGTCTCCCACTACACAAGGAAGCACAAGATTCACAACAACATTAGTCACAGCTGATCACGGAGGCAGACAGACAGACATGGAAATCCTGAAAGACAGAAAAAGGCAAAAAGCAGGACATTCATGCTTCAGAAGGCAGCAGATGTTCCCATGCCCACCTTACTGTGCAGGCAGGTGGTTGGGGTCACAGCTTGGCATACAGACCCACCACACTATGGGACCAGCTTCTCACTGGTCCTACACTTCTGCTTGCTCAGGTGTCATCTCTGCTGGTTGATGTCTCTTGGGTCCCAAGGGCGTCAACTCCCAGAGCAACATGCTTTACGGTGACCTGCGTGTGCAGTGCCATGAGCCAGGTCCCAGGGCTGTGTTTCCTGTATGGTACTGGCTGTGATGCCATAACACAAGTGTGAATCACAGTAAACTCCTAGCTGGCCCTCAAAGTCCTGCTTCTGTCCCCATTCCTGTCCAAGGGGTCTTTGCCTTCAATTTGTATGGGATCTGCCGTTGGATTATTCATCACTGGTAGCATTTCATGCTGCAACTGTTATAAAGGGTGATTTCAGTATGCTCACTCCAGACTAGGTTTTCAAGCCTTCAGCAAGTAGAGGAAGGAGTTGTATGGTTACCACTTGATTTTAATGTTTTTTTGGCTCCAGATGCTCAAAGTGCTGCAGTAACCATATTCATGTGGGCAATGCCTCTAAAGGACTTCCAGCCAGTTGTGTGCTATTCCAAAAGGCTGGTGAGCCAGCAAGCTGGGAACCAAACCTACATCAGCAAGCTATTCGGTTTAATTGCTACAGCAATCACCAACAGGCAAAAATCACAGGAGCCTTTTGTGCTGTACAGCAGTTCCTGCGTGCCAAAGGGCAGCTGGTGCTGGAGGCAGAGCTCACCCATGAAAATGAGCTCTAAAGGAGATCATGCAGAGATCAGACCATAGAGACTCACCCACCTTCAAGCAACCTCCAAACTCAGGTGTGCTAATACTAACCATGCTGCTTGGCAATGTTTTCATCTTTAAAGCAGCTTTAAGTGGAGTTGGGAGCAGGTATTTTCCTTCTCGCACAGGCAGGGAGTTGAGCAGTAGAACAATTAAATTATTTTCCCAGGATTTAGAGGCTGTACCAAAGACTTGAACCCACATCTTTCCAGGCCCACACAAACATCCTTCTCCTAACCCTCCTTCTGCCCCTCCTAGCCACTAGACCAGCCCTGCTAAAATCACAGAAGTAATTCCTTGATGTAGAAGCTGCTGTTCAAGGCAGCAAACTGTTGGAGCACTCCGGGAGGACCCCCACTAGGACAGAGTGTTTGGTTACCTCTCATCAAGGCATGAAATTCAACCTCATCCCACCCAAACTCATGAAGGGAACATCAGCTGCACGGCAGCTCCCCAGAAGCACCAGGACACCTCATGCGTGGACTGTACAGCATTGTGGCTCTTCTCTCCAGCTCCCCCACAACCCCACATGCCACCACTTAACCAAGCACACCAGCCATATGGCTCTCACAGCCTGGCCATGCAAAGGTCTATTGATGGCCCAGAGGAGCCTTGGCCATGTCACAACCTCTCTCTCTCCTTCAGCATTCCCCCTTCAGCCCTCCTGCTTCTCCATACATCCATTTATGCTGGCTAACACCTCAGGTCTGTGTGGTCCTCAGCCTAGTAAACCACTGATGCTGGGCTACAAGAGATGTGAAGTACCATATGAAAGAGATGACTGAAGGAAACATGACAAAGGCCTCAGAAAACCTGAGTGGTGGTGGGAGCATGGACTGTTTGCTGGCCCTTCTAATCCAGGAAAGTTGGGGCATCAAAGGGAATTAGTAGGGTGCAGGGTGGAAGTAAACCAAGGATAGACAACTTTATGGCCTCTCATTAAACTGTCCAACTCCCTGCTGCAGGATCACAAATGAGAGAGGCAACAGACATCCGAGGTGCAAATGGATTATTTCATGAAGAAGAAATCCATTCCGGGGTACAAAACACCGGCACCATTCCCAGCTCAGGAAGCTCCTAAGCAATAGTGCATTGGAGGCTGGGAGAGCATTTTGGGCAAGAAACATCCTGGTTTTGCCTTGTCTTTATGGTCTTCTCCAGACCTTGCTCTTGGCCTTGTCAGAAATGGGACGCTGGGCTAGCCAGGCCATGGAATGTTCTGGTATGGTGACTCTTGTGTCCCTATGACTTCCTAGTCACTCAAAGTCCCAAGAGCCCCATTTCAAATATAGGATTTCTATAAACAGAGAACCTATACAGCCATTCCTATTCAAAATCCACTCTCCTGCCACTGCCTCCCCACGTACTGGTCCTGCCTAGCACAGCCATCCTTCCCCACACTGGTCCCATTTCTCATAAAACATGTGAACAGCCCCTACACGAGTCAGTGCAAAGGCACATTAGCACAGCATCGTCTTCCCAGCCAGGGTTGCCCAGGGAAGAACACAAAGCCTTTGCAGCAATAATCCATCCCATCAGGGTCTTTCGGAGGCAGAGGTGGTGTCTTTGCATTGAACAGCTCTTCATAAATTCTATTCTGCAAACTCATGCCATTGCTTCGCAAGCCCATGAGCACACTGAGTAGCCAGTTATCTGCAACAAGGAGATCCACTCCTGATTGCCCACGCTGCGTAATGGATCTTGCAGCCACTTCAGGGAAGGAGATACAGTCACCATCTTCCAGCACAGCTATACTGAAACCCGTAAGATTGCAGTACTTAATCATTGCCCAAAGATTTCATTTGCAGGCTCCTGCCAGTCTCTGGTTACTCCAAGGGCTTGTCCTCAAGGAGTCATCCTGGCTGACCTTCCAAGATACAAACTGCACTGAGCAACACAGCTGCGGCCCAACCCGATTAAAACAAGAGGAAAATACCAGTGCTAATTCTGATCCTTGTGATTTGTTGTCTCTTAGAATGGGTGGTAAAGTCACCCAAATGAAGGCAAGATGGGGTGAGGGATTTCAACAGAGGGGAGATTGTTTCACACTGCTTTTTCAGTAGCAAACACATAGCTTCGTCCCTACTGCCAAAAAGCTTGGCACTAAAACTGCTGAAATCTTCTTGTGACTGAGTGGCAGCAAGCTGTAATTTACTGCATTCCTGCTTCAAGAATTGCTTCACTTCTGAGAAGAAAGACCTGTCATTTGTCAGCCCCGTGTACCCCCTCCTTCCAGCCATCACATTTCCATGTTATGCTAGATAAATCCATTCCCCTCTTCCTATCTGCTCCCCCCAAAAGCTGGTGTATTCCCAGAAACTGAAGAGTCATCCTTTCACAGCAACATCATTATCAATTTTCTTTTTAAAGACATGTAATGGGACATGTTCCTTTCAGCAAAAATCTGGAATTTTTCTGCTGTTGCATCCACCTCTCTTAAATTGATTCAGAGAGACCCGTCTCTGCTGGTTCTTCACAAGCACCTTCCCCACACCTCTGACATGACAGATTTCCAGCCCAGCCATTGCAGTGTCTGGCTGGCTGCTAACAAAAGCTCTGCCTGGCTTTAGGATGTGGCCAGGTCCCTGGGCAAGTTGAGCTGTATCGCCTCTCCTCCTGTGGTGTACTTGACCACCGGCCCGTTCCCTTCCATGGTGAAGAGCTTGCAAGTCTTCGCATTCTCGTGAACCGGTGTGGACTTTTTCGAGGAGATGGGGGAATTTGTGGGGCTCAGCTGAACAGCAGTGGTATCCTGCACCGTGTGCTCGCTAGTTTCAATTTCAAAGGCTGTGTTGCCAGGTTTGATGAGCCCAATGTTGGAACCTGGTTTGGATTTCCTGGCCCCATGAGCTGGAGGCCTCCGGCTGCAGATGCAGCAGGCACCGAAGAATGTGAAGGCCACCACCAGCAAGATGGGTCCAATGATGATGGGAGGGTTGTTCACGGGGAGAAAGGTCCCAAAGGCAAACGCTCCCACTAAAGTGATGTTGATCCCTGCTAGCATGATGCAAAGTCCACAAGCGCAGCAGAGAGCAGGGGAGGGAAGGCCCTGAGGTCGTGTCTTTTTCTGGATGGGTTTTTGGGGCAAAGAGGCACTGCTCTTTTCACTGAACATGTTGAGATGAGTCTCGGAGGTCACCTCAGTCCTCACGGGGTGTACACTCTGTCGAAAAGGCTATGTCTGGTCTCATGCTGCCTTGAAATCCCTGGAGAAGAACAGAAAAGCATGCAGCTGTTAGAGCAATGAACCAGAGGCACCTTTCATGGTGACCAGCATCTTCTCCAGCTTTGCAGGCACCAACAACTTTCAAATCCAAGCCTGCTCTCAAGTCTGGGTCTCCCTGTCCATGGTGGTCACATGCAGTCAGCCTTGTGCTGGAGCACTGAGCCCAGCGTCCTCCATGCCCCTTCCCATCCAGATGGATGTCACCCAGGTGAATGTGAGCATGAGATGGCCCAAAGCCTATGCCTGGCTCTGCCTCGAGTCCGAGTCACAGTGCAGCATTGCAGCAGCATGGCTGGACAGACAGACCCACATCATGAACTCAGATGTTTCTCACATGGTTTTGAGACCTGCTGCATACATCTCTTGATGCTCCCTCTACACCATCTACCCTTCCCTTAAAATACAGCTTTTTCAGGACAGGCAACACGTCCTGCTGCCCATTGGGTAGTAGCTGGTCTCACAGTGTTTGTCATCACCCACACAACAGCTGCCCAAAATGACAACAGACCCCAGTACTGCTCTGAACATCCCTCACTGTAGTGTGGTGCAATATATTCTCATTAACAGAGCGGGACTCTGATTCACGTCTCAATTGTCCAGTAATCAAAACTAGTCATTCAGGTTGCCTTTCTAGCCCGTGGAAAATAAAAGGTCCCAGAAAATGATCCAGAACATCCCAAAAAGATGTCCACAATAGGGGGCTGAGCTGACTACAGAGGGAATCTTGGAGATGACTTGAGCAGTTTAACAGTTAGATGCTCAGTGAGACAAACTCTGTCCCCAGATACTGAATGACTTGCCATCACTCACAGAACTCTATGATAAAATGAAGCAAATGTGGGTGTTCTGCCTGCTGGATCATGCTTTCTACCATGCATCACACGACGATCAGTGTGATTACAGGAGATCCTGTAGAGGAGGGCAGGGAAGAATATTTGTCTCAGCAACTGTAAAACTAAACTTGTACAAGGTTCATGCACAAGCAACATCAGCTCCTGGGTGGAGGCACATGGAAACTGAGACAGTGAAGCGGGAAAAGAGCCTGTGTGGGGGTCTGCCTAGAACCCAAGGCAGGAACACATAGCCCTGATTGACAACAGCAGTTTCTCCTTGGAGGAGATTATTGGATGTGATAAGAGTTGGTTTTGTGTTTGCTGTACTTTGGCTGAGAAGCCAAATTGCCAGAAGCCAAATTGCCAGCAGTTTGCTAGTGATGCCTTTGATTTTACAGGCTGGAGAGCATTTCTCTTCCCAGCCTGATTGCAAACAATAGCGGTCTGCTCTCTCCTACACCCCTGGCCTGGCTCCCTAACTTTTTTCCTCCTCTGCTGTCAAATCACTTTCAAAAAGGTTGGCAGTGAAAAACTGATACTGCACAGGTTTCTACCTCAAGAGCCAAGAATCACTGTTGTGCTATTAACACTCTGCAGCTCCTAAATTAAAAAAACCCCAAACCATCACCCATCACCCTGAAACACACCAGTGGGATCAGCCAGGCACTTTCAACATGTTTCCTAGGTTATAAAATTTTCCCACACCTTCAGCTGAGGCAAAGCGCTCTGCTGCCCTATCTGGCATCTTATCTCATTTCCTTGGCTTGGGCTTTTGTTTAGACCTGAATGAAGTTCGGCAGTGAACTTTCAGTGAAGTTCCTATTCAGTGAGACATCAGCTGGAGCTGACAGGGACAGGCACATGGAAGAATTAAATCCTTCCTCATCTGGGGATGCCTGACTGGGGAGGAGTCTCTCTGCAGGCAAAGATTTTTCAGGAGAACAGCGTGTGAGAGAAAGGGCATTTTCTCCATTAGCCAGGTTAACACGTACGCATGTTTCTCCAGCAGTGTCCTTTTGTTCTGCCTGGGAACCCTGGCACACCGACGTGAGCTGGACCCCTGATTCTGCCTCCTTCACCTGCCCTGGACCAGCAGCAGGACAGATTCTTGTTAAAGACACACCTACACACACACCCTGTTCTCAGCTCAGCTCTTACAGATGCCAGTCTGAACCTTTGGCACACAGAGGCTGCAGACACCCCAGCACAGCTCTTCCCCTCAGTTTGCCCTACATGTTCCCACTGCAAAGCACTCAGCAGGGAACTGTGTGGCTCCTCATGGTTAAATCATATCACAGATTCACTCCACCAGGTTTCTCCCTCCCAACCCCTCAGCACTCACCTGCTTCCACCCGGCAAGTATTCCTCCTCCTGGGAGAGCTGGGCAATTATCACAGCTGCTGGGCTCTAGCAGGATGCACAAAGAAGGCAACTGCCTCTGCTCCTAGGCAAGGCAGGGACCAGAGGCCATGCTCCCACTGAGATTTTCAAAAGGAGCTTCAACCTGTTGCCCATCACATCTGTCAGCCATCACCTGTAGTCACTCCAAAGGGACCATGCTGGTTTCTGGCTGCTTTCAAGGCTGCAGTGTTATCATCCAGCACAGTTCCTGGTAGCTCATTTTCTCTGCTTGGCAATTTTTGTTCATCATAACAGCTCTGTGAGTGTAGGGGGTTTAGCTTGGGCAAAATCCTCACTGAACCTCCCCAGGCTGTAACAGGAGAGGAGGGGGACAAAAGTGCTTATTCAGGCACCACTGATAATGATAAATTGGGGCAGCCCATCCAAGGACAGCTCACCCCAACAGGTAAAAGAGAACCACAAATCCACTCTGGAGGGATCAATGACATGAGAGAATGATCCAGCTGGGCTCCGGGTGCATGCAGTCACCATCAGTTTCCCAGGCATTCATGGCTGCTTCCCAGAAGGAGAGGGGACGAGATCTACAGTACTGAAATAGGGATGTGACACATAAGGATGGAGACATCTAACCCTGCCGCTTGACTGAAGGAGGCACTAGCTGCTCCTTGGGCCGCCCTAGGACAGGCAGACAGACAACTCCCAGCCTGTGCCAAGGGACTGGTCAGGCAACAGCTGCTACCTGCCTCCTAGCAAGTGAAGAGGGAAGAAAGGAAGTTTATAAATAAACCACTGAGGCTAAAGCGGCGATGAGTAGCTTGCCAAGAGTCACTGTCCTAGAGGCCCATTGGGTTGAGTGTCTGGGTACATATTAGTATCAGCCTGCACAAAAGGTCAGAGACTAGAGCAGGCAGTGTAACAAAACCCAGGGTCCTGCACCTCCTTGTTCAAAGGGCCAGGTCTAACACAAGGGCCATGACACTGCCCGAAGAGTGAAGCTGTAACAACATGAGTCCAAGGGTTTGTGCTGCACACCCTTAGGTGGGGAATAAAAGCACCTAAGGGTGACTGAGGGAGCAAGTCACCAGACCTGCTGAGATAACACCAAAGAAAAGCACAGAGAGCCAAATCTGCCTCATGCACTTTATCTAAACAGAGATACACCCAGAACCGTGGGACAGAGCTAGCTGGAGCGGTCAAAAGCAGAGCCAGGATTCAGATCTCATTTAAACTGTGTGAACAGTTCTGGGACTTGTGACACCCTTTCTAGAGCTGCACCATGAGAGTTCTAGCCACGCTATGTCCAAGACAAAGCTTCTTTCCCATCCTCTTTGCTTGCAGCACCTACATGGGGTTAACAAACTGTTTCCCAGCAGAAAGCAATGGAGCAACGGAAGAATCTAAGAGGAACCCTGCCTGGAATGGGGACCTCTCCCATCAGCTTGGTGGCAGAGGGCCTTGGAAGACAGCACCGTCACAGGGCTAGGACATGACATGCACACGCACCACAGGCTAACCAGCAGTAAGCAGAAGACAGCATGTTTGGACTGGGAATATTTAGAAAGTAAACCCCTGTTTACTCTTGTCTTGATCTCCATAAAAAACATGAAAGAGCATACACAGGGAATTCCTGTTGGAAAACCAGATGAAAAGGGGATGAGAAAGCCAGCAGGGCAGTGGAGGATAAAGCAAAACCCAAACCAAATCCAGAGAATGCCTTATGCTACCTTCTACCTGAAAAGACCCTACAACACCACAAAGTCCCATCTTCATTCTGATTGTCATGTACAACAGACGCATCTTTGTTCTCCTGCCATTTCCTAAAGCACAGGCTGATGCTGTGGGAGGAAGCGTCCCTCTCCATCCCCTTTGCAGTCACAAGAACTCACTGATGTGGGTCAGCTCCCACCGCTGACCTGCCTGAGGGTATCTGGCAGCTTTTACCTTTCACTTTAGCCAAATTAACGGGTTCAAAAATTACTAACTTTCCAGGAAATTATCCTGTTCAAAATTACCAACTTCCTTTCTATTTGGAGTGGAAAAAGTTCTCTTTGGGCTCTCTGTGTGAAACAGGTTCTTTTATTGGTTACAGTCTAGGTTTCCTCTCTAAACAACATTTCAGCTTGAAATGCATTACTGCCAAGCACTTCTACAGAAAAAAAAAAGCGCTGCATATCCAAGCTAGAGTGATGGAAACCCAGAGCCTATAGTGATTCCTTCTAGGGGAATATCCATCCCTCCCCATATTCTCGGGGGGACAAAGAGAACTTCCATTCATAGCTCTGATAGTTCCTAGAGCTCGCAGGGCATACTGACATATTCAGCCAGCATTTTAGGAGCACCATTTAAAGCCATGCCAGTAGCACCAGCAAGATGCGCAGCTAAGCATGCTTCCCTCTTAATTGTAGTGAGGGGGATCAAGCCGTCATCCTTCCACTCTGTCTCACCGCAGCAGCACAGCCAAAATATTCGACAGACCCCAGATGAGTCTCCTTTCTAGGGGTGTGATGGCACAGCAAAACGACACTGATCAGCTGCAGTCAGACAGCTATAACCACCCCCCGCACACAGACAGGCTCGCGAACACACTCGCACGCACCCTTTAGCTATTAGGAGAAGCCTAAGACTTTTTCCCTGGGCAAAGTGTGGGAAACTCTCCGGCAGGGCCAGAGAGCCTCGGTGCCTGGCAGGGGAGGACACTTACCTGGGCTGGGCGAGGGGCCGGGGGAGGCGATGGAGAGAGCGGGTGCTCCGGGTCTCCCCTTCACCCTTCCGTCGGGGATGCCAAAGCCATGGCTAGTCCCAGCAGGGCCGGGGCTAGCAGCCCAGGTGTGCGCTAGGAGACGGATCTCACATGCCTCCTCCCCTTTTCTTCACCGAGCTCGGGAAAACTTTACTCGGGTGCCAGGCGAGCCCCGGGCAGTCGCCGGGAGAGCTGAGCGGGCTCTGTGCCAGCTTGGCCGCCTTCTCCCCACTTTCCTCCTTCCCCTCGGAGGGTGATGTCTTTCTCCTCAGGCAGAGGGGGGTTCACACGCAGCATCGCTGCCCCGCCGCATCCTCTCCTGCCTCCTCCTCCTCCCCCCCGGCACGGCTCGGCCCCGCCGCCTCCCCCGCTGTCCGGCAGGATCTCACCCTCTCCCCGCGCCTTCTTTTCCTTCTTCCTTTTCTACACCAAGGCTGCAGCTCCCGCCCCCTTCAGCTGACAGAGGTGCCCGGAGCAGAACAGCCCCTTTTTTCCACCGGGGAGAGGAAAAACCCCGGAGCGCGTCTCCGCCGAGGGGCAGCCCCAGCCCTCCCGGGCCGGAGAACAAAGCCCGGGGAGAGGAGGGGGGAAGCACCGCCAAATGCCAAGGGGTGAGATGCAGGCTCTCCGCTTGCTGCAGAGAGGCAGGGATCTCTTAAACGCAAAGGGTTTGAGATGCACGTTACGAATAAAATAATATTTTTAAAAAATACAACTGGTGTCCGGGTGCCTTTGGATCCTGGAGGGATGCAGGAGTGAGTCCTCGCTGGGCGGGTCGGCAGTGAGGGGTCCCGAGACAGGACACTCCAGCGGTGGAAACGTTCAGGGTGTGGGAGCTGGCAAATCCACAAAAACCGTCCTCAGATGCAAAACTAATGTTTTAAAGTGGCAATCAGATCTCAGGTACGCTTAAAGGCACTTGCTCTAAAAACATGCCTGACGCTACACCCTGTTGCAAGCATAGCCAAGATCTTAGCTCCCATGTTAAGAAGCGGATCACTGTCTGCTTGGGGAGTTGGTGACCACGGGAAAAAAAGGCAAACTGCAGGTTATGCACTGGATGGAGTATAGCTAATTCTCCCGCAGCTAAAGCGGTGCTGACACTCGCATGCCCTCATCTGCTCTCCGTGCCCACACTGCTGTAACCAGCTTGGATGCTGTCAGTGACAACTGAACAGAGGCTCTTCTCCAGCTTATTGCAGAAGAATCCTATACAAATCGGGCTGGAGCTGACTGAACATGAATCATGCTCCCCTCTTTTTTGATTGCTTTCATGATCTCGAGAGAGAGAGGGGGAGAAAGGTAACACAGAAATGGTGAAAAAGAAAGGTCAAAGAAATCGCTGGAGAGGAATGAACACTTACTTCTCTCTATTCTTCAGGCACTACTCCAGCCTGAGTATTCTTAATACAGCAGCATCCTCTACTGCACCATATTGCATTTCACCTTACAGGTCATCCTAGAAATTCAGGTAAAAACAAGCTTTGCAGAAAGGGGTTCAGCCCCTGCTGAGGAAGACCACTGTTTTCTCCCTAGCTTGGGTAATGCTAACAGCATACTGCATGACTTGAGCAAGAGGGCAGGAGGGTATCAGAAAAGCAGTGCTGATCATATATGTTGTCTTCCTGGGCTTCTAGAAAGAAATAACTGGGAAATGTCATTTCAGACCTTTCCAGAGATGCAGCATCTCCGCTGGGGATTCCCTGGCCTTGTAACATGAGGTTCAAAATGGCTCAGTGTACTCATTCCTACCAGAAAAGTGATGGGAGAGTGCACAAAGGAATATTTTCTGGAGAAAATCTCCATGTGGCACATCTGAGAAAGATAGTTCTACATGTGGAAAAATTGGTTGTTTAGCGTTTACTGACTGTTGCTGGGTAGAAAGCAGAGTGGCTGAACTCATTCTTGGTGTGGCTCCATAGACCTTGGTGGAAACAGCCCTATAAGTCATGTTTATTTAGAAACAGTGGCTGTCAGAGGGAAAGAGACCACCAGGGCCATTGATTCGAGCCCCCTGCTACCATGTTGTATAATAGCATTCATAAAGCGCTCAAGCTCCAGAGGGGGCCAATTAATACCAAATGACCTGTGAGCTGTTCCCTAATTGCACAAGGCAGTGATGAAGAAGGCTGCGCCTGCTTCAGGTTGGCTGTTGCATGACTCTCCATCACACTTTCTGCTTAATGGTCCATAAACCCAATAAAAAGTCTTTACTGAAACATTACATATTTAGGGCTTCACTGAAGCAATAATTCTGAGTTTCGCATATGTGGCCCTGACAACCTGGCAGACTGCATTCATGTGATTAAAACAACTGCTAATTCAAGAACTAAAATTAAAAGCTAGATTTCCCACTGGTATAAATCAGAGCAGATTCATTGCCTTGCAGAGCTTTGATAGCTCATGAGCATTCATGATTTGCCAAGGGGGTTTTGCCAGACTGATGGCTCCTAATTTCAAACTTGCCAGGAACTAGGAAGCCCTGCCTTCTCTAAAGGCAAGATCCCAACCCTCAGCTAACTAGAAATGACATTCCTCTGGGAAAAGCTGTTTGTTCCCAGCTTCTGCTGAATTCAGAAATTACCTTAAGTCAGAAATTTCTGAATGAGAGGTAAAACTGCCTGCCTGCCTTTTCCCATTGTCAGTTCCTGAGTCTGGCTTATGTTACTAAGAAATCCAGCTCAAGCACTCTTGCACCCACAAATACTGGGCTTCTGCGTCACTCACCACCTGATCTGAAGCAGGTCAGGATGGTGACTACCACATATGAAGCCCTTAGATATCATGCAGGTTTTGTGGGGTTTCTCTCTGCAAGAATAACTGAAAAAAAAGGTGGGAAAGTTAAGGATGATACAATGTTTTCACAGAGGTTTCAAAGGATTTTGGTTGGGACTAAAACTGGAGTGAAACTGCATAAGCAGCATCCATGCTTACAGGATCAGCAGCATGCCCACAGCCCAATTTCTCAGCACAACAGGACAAACAAAAACCAGCAGCCCGTGATGCTGCCTACTGAACCATACCCATCATGCATGGAGCATGTGGGAGGCAGTGAATGCTTGGAAGTTTATGGTCCACTAAGATCATTAGACAAAGGTCACTGCAGAAACATCCCCCTGCAGATTTCTGTGAGGTCTCTAGTACTGGCACCTCTCTGCATAGTTACATTTTAATTGCCTCTTCAGGGAAGGAAATGCCAGACTGAATCTGCTGTTGCTCCAAACCAATCCTAAATGCCACCACGTCTATCTGAAAGTTTGTACCAGAGCAGGATCTGACTCTGTCTCATGGGTCTGTGCTCTGTGCTGTCTCCGGCAATTCAGAAGAGGGCAAGGCCAATTTCTGCAGCAATGTTTACCCCTCTGTAACATCAAGTACAGAAACAAGGAGGTAAAAAAGAAATTAATATTTGTCATTCCTAGAAGCAGCTGTGAGATTACTGTGCAGGAGATTTAAACCCACTAAGGAGACACCTCCTTGTACAGTGTGTAATTAAAATCACAGGATGCTGCCATAGCGAACAACAGTATTAATGTGTTCAGACCCAGAACACAGACACAACTGGACCAAACACAACAGACCAGCTGCAGCTTTTGGCTCACAATTTCCCTTCATTTCTGATCACTGGGAATGGTCTGCGGGGGAAAGCTTGCTCTAGGTTTGCCAGGGTCCTCATAATCTAAGCCTCTGCTATTGACAACTGTTGAGGCAGAATAATAGATAAAGTAGATTTTTTTTTTTTTAATCTGGTCCCATGGTCTCCTGCATGATCCACTTATGCCAAGACTGCCATTCAGTTTTGAGTAAGTTGAAATCAGAACAGGACACTGCTGGGAGATAGACTGAAGAAGATACAAGGAGTTGTCTTCATGCCACACCGCTTGGGATTTGGGCCCTGGACAGAACAGGAATCTCAGCTAGGCAGTCAGTGGGTACCATCAGCCCAACTTCCAGCATCATTAAACCTTTGTCTCTACCCTCTGATCAGATGATCTACTTCCATAGTACTTTAGTGGTTTGTTTGGCTTTTTAAAATAATCTAGAGGTCATTTTTTCCCCCTTCACACACACACACACACACACACACACACACACACACAAGCTTCCAGATGTTCAAATGAGTTTCTTCCTTCCCATGACAACCTCTGAAAATACTGAGCTGAACAAAGTTAGCATACAGGGAACACTTGTTCAAGAGACTGTCATGTTACACAAACAGTACAGTAATTTTTTATGAAGCTTTCTCAAACAGGAGGAAATAGGCAGATCAATTATCAGCAAGGGGTAAATATTTTTAATTACCTTGCAAGGATGATTATGTCTTCAGTGTTTAATTCTTAAAGGTTCCTACTGGCAAACTAATTAGCTAGCACCTCCACTGGAAGAGCAGTCATGAAACTACATGGCTTTATTCACCCAGGAGGCAAACACTCAGTTCATTCTCCTCTGTCACATCATGGAATTCTCTGCCAGCCAGATCAGACCAGAGGATAGTTGATATATCTATGAAATACATCGTGTGTCCATCAGCAACTCTACCTCATGATTTCAAATGCAGTTCATCAGAGACCTCAGTGTTACATCTTTTTTTTTTAAAAGAAGTGCTGGTAGAGATTTTAGTTAAAGGGCTGTTGGGTCCTCATAAACCAAAATTGGTGTGTGCATTATATATGATACTTCATATTCTGTATGTTACACATTACAATATTTTTTCTTGTCTTCCCCTTCTTCTCCTGGAAGAATACACAAATACATCTGCATTTGAGCTGCCCAGATAATTAACAGCCTTGATGGGGTAGGAGTCATAATAGTGAGGTCCTGATCCAGCAGAGCACTTAAATATGAGCTTTTTCTAGGTATTGGCCTATTGACTTCAGCGGGACTACTCATAAGCCTTAAGGTAAGTATGTACTTTCTAGGGTCAATACCTTCACTAGAGAAAGCAGAGGTAACCCCACAAGAACCAATGTTGTGCGTGGGAACAGTCAGGCCCCATACATGAAACATCACATGAACAAGGAACTGCCCTTCCAAGAATATGCTCTTCTGTTGCAAGTATATCTTAGGTGAATTTAAGGACATTTCTGAGGATAGGATTTAGGTGGCATCACAAACCAGCAGTGAACTGGGCTTTTGATCATGAAGAAAGCCAGAAATTATGGAATCTGAAACAATAACCAAATGTCATGTCTTCTCTGAACGCAATTCTGGTGGCTGAGCCCAAAGCACAAAGAAGAGGACAGCCATCTGCGCCACCTTCTGACATCAGGCAACCTACCACATCAGTTCAGCCTCAGGAACCAAATCCACCAAGTGATCTGTTTTCCTGCC